TTAACCGTGATTACTACCGTTAACCGTTAACCGTTTACCGTAATTACCTACCGTTTTCCTATCTACTTGATTACCTGGTACTTGATTATTTGGTTATCGTAAATTACATGTTCACATGAAATTATCAAATATTGCCTACGTGTTTATGTGTTAATTGATGCTAATAATTGCTCATATGAAATTGTCCACCATTTTAAGGTGAGTGTGTACTTTATCTCACTCGACCTACCAAAAGAATAAATTTTACCGTTCGTCGATTTACTTGATTACTTATGCATGTTGTAAGTTATAAGCTGAACTTGGCCCCTACCCTTAGTTACTGACCTACTCGAATCAGGATTGGACTCGGTCGGGTAGGTTGGAACCCTGGGCCACCGTTTCGGTATACTCGACTATTACCACTGGAGGGATAAGGCGATGGCCAGACAGTACCATGGGGACCGGAAGTTATAAGGTGCAGATGACCGAAATGGTTCCACTGGAACACGGTATCCTTCAATGTGTGTTTATTTTGCATAATAATAACCGTTACATACAAATGTGCCATACCTGTGATATGTTCAAATTACTTGTACAATGATTATTGTCTCATGTTAATATGCCAATGTGTAATCTTGAACCATACATATGATATGCTCAATTACTTGATTTATTAGAACTGCTAGAGTGTCTTGGAACCTCATTGGGCTGTGTAACTCATCCCACGTTTTGGGTTTCTTTAACAGGATTCGAGACCAAGAGTGCTCGTGAATAGTACTAGATTGCCTTTTTCTGAAAATTTAAAGTTGTATTACAGCAGATGGTTGTAGTAAATATTCTTTTGGGTTGTATTAAGCTTGAGAGCTGATTAATTGTAAGTTTGAGATATTTTGGAGTACTTTAATTATGTATTGAAGTTATTTGAAATATTTCGAGTTTTTGAATTGTGGATTGTAGTGAGTCCTGATGAGAGATGGGCAAGCGTCCCGTGGATACCCTTTGGTTCGGCTTAGGGAGAAGTGGGGGCGTCACACCCTACGTATTTTACTATAACATAATAATCTTCTTGAGATATTGTGCTAATTATCCTTAATCATCATTTATTCTTTACCTAACCAATTGCTGACAAATATCAATCAGCATTCATTATTTTTTTAATAACTCACTGACCATAAACTAATTTTGAGAGATCTAATTTCAGTTCGCTATCATATTTTCTTTATTTCGGTCAATTTACTTAAACTTTTTTACCTTACTATCAATTTTCGTTTCAATTTCTGCTTAGTTTGTGTTTAATACCTTAACTAATTCAATTCCTTCATGTCAACATATGTATATATCTGATTTTGGAAATTTTACATTAAAATTCTTTCTCCAATTTTTTGTGTTATCTTTTTTTTCTTTCCTTTAGTTTTAATAATTACAAAGTACATATGGGGATGAACTAGTGGATTTTCTTCCACTTTTTTTTTTAACCCTCCTCATGTGTACGTTAAATTCCATTAACTCCTTTATTCTCAGCTGATTAAATGATTTTTCTGCTCTTTTTATTTTCGTTTTCCATTAAGTGTGTGATTTCTCCTTTTCTTTACCCCTTCTGTTAGGTTAATAACATATTACTTTCTGCTTACCATATCTCTAATTGCTGTTCGTTTTTTTAATAACTTTAACTATATTCATAATGAGTCCATGTACTTTCCTTTTCAATCTACGATGACAATTTAAGTAAGTCATAAATATTAATATTCATCTTTTCTTAGACTTCCTCGAGTTAAGTTCATTACTATAATTTTGTTTAACTTGACTTACTAATATGATTTGCCTCAATGTTCTATAATCCATTCCTAAAGGTTGATGCAGGAACAATTTAAGTTCAAGGTTAAGAAAAGAAATGGAATCATGGGCTTCATTTTGTCATTACTGTTTATCTTCATCACTTTGAGTTGCTGAATTTCTCTATATTTGTTCCTTATTTATATTACGACATATATTGTTGCCTTTCTTTGAATTGCAATTATAATTTGTCCGTTAGTTTCTACCTATATTTTGAATTGATCAGCCAAATATAGCTTAAGGACTTCTTTTTTTTTTTTTTTGGTAACATTAATTGATGTTGGAATCTCTCAATTTTCTCTTCCTCAATTTACAGTATTAATACTAGATTTTAATTTTTTTAAATCTATTGACAAATTGCTCACTTTAATTTATTACTGAACCTATTGCAAATGAACTCCCATATATGCAACCTTATTTCTTCCAATCACTCAAAACGTTTTTGACCCTATATATTGGTTTACTATTTCTTTCTCATTACCCATCTCTCTCCTGTGTTCTTCTATAATTGCTCCCCGATTAACATAACTTTTGACTTTTTTAATGTTTAGGATCGAGTAATATCTTAACCAGTGTAGACTTCTTTTCATTTATTCTCTCTGCATTAGATTAATATTACACTTTAAATTTGAAATCATTTCTCCTGATTTTTTCTTCTATTTATCATTGCTCTTCCTATGATATCTGAAAGACATCTTAAAATATTCACGGGTAAAAGCATTAAACCCCCCGTCCCCCCCCCCCCCCAAAACCCTTAAACTTTACCTTCGGCTACACCATATCCCTCTCAACTCAATAAATAGGTACTTCGTCCCCCTATTTTATGTTTTAGGACAAAAGTGCGCCTTCCATAGTAATTAGTATTTTATTTCTTTTTCTCATTTTTGCCCTTTTCTATTTGACCATTTTCTTTATATTTTTTAGTTTTTTCCTTTATTTTACGTGATCAACTACTTTCTTTTTTTACTATTATTATCCATATATTAATTTTAATTTTCTTAGTCTTCATCTTTATGTATTTCTATCTTTTTTACTTTTGTTACTGAAAGTAATATTATCATAAAATCTAGGCTATAACAAGGTATATGTTATTTATATCAATAAATTATTTCTTATATTACTTATATTAAAACGCCTAGAGTTTAGAATGAATTAATTTTAATAACAATAGTTACAAAAAAAATCATAATAACATAGTGGTTAATCAAATATACATAAAAAGGTAAATTAAACAATTGGTTATTTTATTTTTCTGTGATATACTTTTAAATTTTAAGTAATTTAAAATTCTAGTTTGCTAATATTTTTTATATAGTCAAATTGCTAGCAATATACACTTTTTTTTTATTATAATAGGCATATATTAATTTTTTATGCTACGTAGTCATTTTTGAATTTTTTGATAGTGCAAGTAAATAAAACAAGAATAAAATTAAAAGTAAGAGATAAGTATAATATTATAAATAAGAATTAATGTTCTATACATTGACAGTATATACACTTTCACCATTAGATACATGACATATAATTCGAATTTGAATTTGAAATTCAAATTTGGCACATGTGTCATATATTCAATCATGATAGTGTATACACTGTAAGTGTATATAAGATTTATTCTTATAATGAACATACAAATTAGTAATACTAATAGGAAAGTGAAATAAGAGTAGTAAAAAAAAAAGATAAAAGTAAAAAAAAGTAAAAGAAAGGAGTGCAAAATAAAAAATAAGGAAATTAATAAAAAAGGTAACAAATAAATCAATAAGGGAACTTTTGTCTTAAAATATTAATGGGGGAAAGAGGGCTTATTTAATGAGTTTAGAAAGGTAAAGCGTAACTATGGATAAAATTCATTGAGGTTTAATGCATTTGTCTAACACACATAGACAAGCATGGAACTTTTAATTGTAAGTTTTAGGTGTGTCTGCCCATAGTGACTAAAATTGGCTATACTTAGATTTTCTTCTTGCATGTTTTTGGTATATTGAATTCTTTTATTTAATTATTTAGTTTTTGGTAGAGAACTGAACTATTGGACAACTTTTCTTATGTCGAGTGGGTAAGAATGTTTTGGTTCTAAATGATATCTTAAGCAGTCTAACCACCCGGAAAAAAAAAATGAATTAAGGGCACAGGTATATGTGCGCTAAGATTTTTCTGATTAAGAAATCTTAAAGCTCAATGTTAGAACTTACAAAAGTTGCTCTAGGTAGTATTATACCAATACATTTCTCTTCTCTTGATTGTCAAATAAACATTAATTTGATTCCTCAAAAGAAAATAAGGATTGATTCCTCAAAAAGAAAATAAGTACTGATTTGAATTGGGGGGGGGAGGGGGGGTTGTATAGGATTGATTGATTTGAAATAGGGTTTATCATTTAACAAGGAATATGTGCTCTTTATTTACTGTTAAAATTTGAAACCCAAATTGTATATTCTCCAGGATTGGTATTCATAGTCATATTCCCTCCGTCCCGTTTTGTTAGTCTTGGTTTTTTTTTCACACAGATTAAGAAAGTGTAATTAATTTGGTTGGAAACATAAATTTAGATTAATAATTTCCTAAAATACCCTTATGCTAATTACGAAGAGTGCCAATTAATATCAGCTACAACTAATGGGTTAGTATTGGAAAAACTCAATGTATTCAATGTAGTGGGTTAGTATTTAATAATAATGTATTAATAATAAGATATTTAATAAGGGTATTTTAGACAATTTGAAAAATTACTACATTTCTTAATGGGAAAGTGGACTACAATTTGGGACAGACGAAAAAGGAAAAAAGACTATCAAAGTGGGACGGAGGGAGTAGTATTTTATCTTACTTAATCTTTATCACTAGTATAATTCATATAAATTCTAAATACCTTTTCTCAATTGGTCAATGAAAATATTTTCGTGATTGAATTATAAGCGAAGCCAAGTGTAACTTGCATTTTAAATACCAAAACTAATTTTAACTTAAAATTTTAGCAAATTTTAATCTGAATTTACTACTTTTATCATTGCATTAAAATCAACGTTATAATAATACATCTGTGCATATGTTACTATTACTTATTATTCCTTCCTTCTGAGGCTGATGAGTTGCTCATTCTCTGCCTCTCTGTTTCTCCCTCCGAATTCTAACACAGAGCACAAAACCATCAACAAGCCCTTCATCTCCCTCTTCCAGAACCCATGGCATCTGAGAAGCCAATCTCTTATACTAATCCTCTTCCCCAATTGCAATCAGAAGAAGAATCATCATCGTCATCAGAACAAGATGAAGAATCAGGTGAGGAAGACGGATATAAAGAAGAATCGTCATCCGAGCAAGGAGAACAATCTGGGGAAGAAGAAGATTATGAAGTTGGAGAAGGCAAAGAAAAACCAAAAAGCCCTCACGCTAAGCCCAATCCCATGTTAACAAAGTATCTAATGCTCCAAAGCATACAATCCGTTCACCTTATTCCCCCTCAGATTCTGGAGAAGAAGAGGAGGACGAGGAAGGGAGAGATGAGGACGAATCAGAAAATTCTTCATATCATGCTTTTGCATCTGATTTAACAGTCGAGTTCAATTCTCGGATGAAACACACCTCAAACGCCCCTTACAATTAGAAAATCATCAAGAAAAGGATTTGACAAGTAAGAAAAGGGCTAAAGTTAATGATGACGGACTGATGAAAGGTAAGCCTTTTGCTGTTGACAGCTTTTGGTTGGAGGTACTGGTAAGGTGTTGAGTGATGAGAATTTAATTTGTCTTGAGCAAATCTGTTTATGTTGATCTGCATTTTGGCAGGTGAAATTGCTGGTCGAAGAAGTTTCTTGAAAGTGAACAAAAGTTTATTTTGTGAAGTCAAAGCAAAGAAATTGGAGGTCAAGTGGAAGAAATCGCACAATGCTGAAGCAGAGATTTTTTGAAGAAGTTGGAATTGATGAAGGAGCACACCAGCTTGGTGTTGGAAGGTATGAAAGATAGTAATTAGTGGTTGAAGTTATATTTTTGATATTAATCAGTAGTCTTTTAAATTTCGTGCTATATAGTCCTGAAAATTTTATAATGCATATCTTAAGTCAGCCATGGAAACACCTTGATGCCAATTCTATCAATTTAGGTTTTTAAGTTCTTTTGAGAGTAAGCTACCTTGATGCTTGGTGTTTTAAGTTGAGGATATTTCTAGTTTTCTGATTATTAACTGCTCCTTTCCTCCTAATTCTTTAGTTTTTTGATATCTTTGCTTATCTGTGTTGGATGATGACTTCTTTGAGACTCAAACAATATCAAATTTGTTAAAAACTATGCAATAAGTACACAGATAAAAATTAAAGTAATGGCTGAGCTCCTAATGTTATAGATGACAAAGCAATAAGAGTGATAAAATGCATATTCCTTTTCAGGATTTTTCATGGATTCCTGATTGGTTTCATCAACAAAAGTCTTTTTGGTTCTGGGAGATGCAATGAAGTGAATGACAAGCAAGAGTTAGCTATAAATTTTGCAAGACACAAGAAAATAAATAAAAATATTAGAACGTATCTAAAACATAGGATTGAAGAAAACAAATTGCTGATACTCTCTCTGGAGTAAATGAAGGTACTGTGTCACAACCTTAAAATAATGGAACAAATTCACAGATTCAATAAAATGCCAATAAAAGAAAATGAAGGAGCTATTACTGTTCAAAAGAATAAAAAACTTAACTTTGCCATTGAGACATTGCTCGTCATGCATCACTTGCTCCAATTCTTCTTTTGTAATATCAAAAAGATGTTGTTTATCTAGTATACTCACACAACTGTGGACAATAAAATAGAAGATCAGAAAAATCAGATGAAAGTGACATATTTTCATTGATTAAAACAACTAGAGTTCAACATACATTTGAGGAACGATTTCTCTAAGATGAAAGCTTACAATTTCTTTCAAATCCTTCTCTGCTACTCCACAACCTTCTGGATGACAATACTCACTAAAGATATTAGTATATATAAAAATCAGTGAAAAAAACATGAGGAACATGTCTTACATCTTTTAGAAATGTCAATGTCTCAAATATGGTCTCTTTCACCTTCAAGGCACCAACCTTTTCTAAAATTTCTTTGACCTTATTTTGAACTTAGGAAGAAAAGAATTAGATTCTGCACTTTGGTTACTTGACAAGAAGAAACAATAAGATAAAAAAGAACACATTAACATACACTTCCCCTAACTTTGGTTTCTTCTGAAAGTATAACAACATCATCAAACTCTTGTTTTTCTCTCAAAACCGGCAGCTTCTCAACCTCAACAAACTTCCCCATCTCATCCAATTCTTTTAATTTTTCAATTTTCTTATTCTCTTCCCCACTCTCTCCAATGACAGTATCAACAGTTTTAAATTTCTTCTACATCCAACCCTGATTTTTAGTTTTGATTGCCATTTTCTTGAAGTATGAAATCCCATTTTTTGACTGTGAAATCCTTTGTCAATATGCTCACCATAAAAAGGAACCTTAAAACGCTTAAAGATCCTGATGAAAAATATACCAAATAGGAGATGAGTTTTCTTATACTCCCTACTCTTAGCCTTCTTAGTCTTGTTGAAGATAGTGGCAATCATCAATTTGCCAATGTTCACTGATTTTTTCTTCAACAAATACTACAAAATAATTCTTTCTAGTGCACTAACAGAAGTGATACTTCCAGTTTTAGGAACAATATTATGAGTAATTATCAGATGTAAAAGCCTTGGCAAAACTTTCATATTAGGCCCATAAAAGTTTATTTTTTTTAATCCATTTGCATAATTTTGTCATCATTTTGCAGAATTTCACCAAGAAACTCTATCTCATTATACCCCTCCACAACATGCTTATCAACATTCTTGGCACTAATCTTTTTATAATCAACAGAATATCCATTGTCAACCAAACCAAACTCATCCCTTAGAACCTCAGTAGACAGCTCCATTTGTATATTCCTAACCTGTGAACGCACTACAAACTTGTCCTTATTTTCACTACAATTGGCATAGAATTCTCTAACAAATCCATCATAACACTTATCATTATTTGACATCAAATTCATCAAATTTTGAGAATCAAGATATTCCCTAATATCAATACACTCATTAACTAATGTTTCTACATCAACCCACATACCTTGGAGAGACTGGAAGAATCAAACAAGTCTCCCAGTAAAATTGTTAGAAACCTCCGGGGAGGTTTATGAAATTATCCCAAACAAAAATTTAGAATGAATAAGTTGCTTTTTATAACAGTTCTAAAGGTTCCTTGAGACTTTATAAATTAGGTGTCTTGAGTTTGCAAAAACAATTTCTTCGAGTCTCTCCAGGTATGTGGGTTGATGTAGAAGCACTAGCTAATGAGTGTATTGATATTAGGGAATATCTTGATTTTCAAAATTTGATGAATTTGATGTCAAATAATGATAAGTGTTATGATGGATTTGTTAGAGAATTCTATGCTAATTATAGTGAAAATAAGGACAAATCTGTAAAGCGTTCACAGGTTAGAAATGTACAAATGGAGCTGTCTACTGAGGTTCTGAGGGATGAGTTTGGTTTGGTTGACAATGGATATCCTGTTGATTATAAAAGGATTAGTGCCAAGAATGTTGATAAGTTTGCTGTGGATGAGTATAATGAGACACAGTTTCTTGGAGAAATTCTACAAAATGATGACAAAATTATGCAAATGGGTAAAAAAATAAAGTTTATGGGCCTAATATGAAAGTTTTGCCAAGGCATTTTACATTTAATAATCACTCATAACATTGTTCCTAAAATTGGAAGTATCGCTTCCGTTAGTGCACTAGAAAGAATTATTTTGTGGAATTTGTTGAAGAAAAAACTAGTGAACATTGACAAATTGATGATTGCCGCCATTTTCAACAAGATTAAGAAAGTTAAAAGTAGGTTACAATCATATGCATTATATCCGCCACTACAATCTGATATGCATTATATCCACTACAATCATATAAATCCGCTGTTTCCCTAGTACTAGAAAGTCGTAGTCTTAAATGTTAGGTCTGGTCCCAGGAAATTGACAAACGAAAATATTAGGGTTCTTACCAATTCAATAATGACAATAACAGAAAAAATAAATCAAATAGAGACACGAAATTTACGTGGTTCGACAAAATCGAACTACGTCCACGGGCGAAAGAGTAGTAGATTTACTATGACAGAAAGAGAGTACAAAATCCTAAGAAATAATTTCCAGGTCCAAAAGGCACCTAAAACTGAAAACACAAAAGAGTCTAAATAGTACTAAATGTTTAATGGCACAAAGGTCCATGACTTGCTCTTTTGGCTTGATGCCAAACCAAAACCTCTCTTAGACTGGGACGTGGGCCCCCTAAAAACTCTCTTGGGGTGGTGCATATGGCACCTAGGCTGATGTCCTTAGCATAAGTAAGCTCACTTGAGCCCACTATATTTATAACTATCAAGAGAAGATATTTCTTTATAAAAGTCCTGATGTAGGATACAAAGACATATTCAACAAATCTCCAATTTGGCGTGTATCCAACATCGATAAATAGTAAAAAAACTCCTTCTCTATAAAAGTCTCAACGAATCATAAAAGTCCAAACGAATCACAACGAGCCATCAATGAACCAAGATGCAAAAGGTTTAACAGGTTCCAACGGGCCAAATCTCACAAAAGATTCAATAGATCCCAACGGACTAAAAATCACGAACATGGTAGTCATGCTCCACCTTCTTCTCAAAACCTTCAACGAGTTCCAACGAGTCAAATAATTCTTCTCAAAAAATCCAACTGAACTCCAATGAAAATTTTTTTTCTTCCTTCTCTGTGGCACCAAAAACTTGTTATTGTCATCAAGAACCCAAAATCTGACCATGACCCAAAACTTGAAGTTTTGATACCAATTTGTTAGGTCTGGTCCCAGGAAATTGATCAATGAGAATAATAGGGTTCTTGCCAATTCATGACAATAACAGAACAAATAAATCAAACAGAGAAACAAGAAATTTACGTGATTCGGTCAAATCAACCTACGTCCACGGGCGAATGAGTAGCTGATTTATTATAATAGAAAAAGAGTACAAAAGAGAGAGTATAAAACCCTAGGAAATAATTCTCAGGTCCCAAAGGCATCTAAAATTGAAAACACAAAAGAGCCTATATAGCACTAGATGCTTAATGGCCCAAAGGCCATGACTTGCTCTTTTGGTTTGATGCCAAACCAAAACCTCTCTTAGACTGGGCCGTGGGCCCCTTAAAAACTCTCTTGAGTTGGTGCATATGGCACTTGGGTTGATGCCCTTAGCACAATTAAGCTCACGTGAGTCCACTATATTTATAATTACCAAAAGGAGATACTTCTTTATAAAAGTCATGATGTGGGATACAAAGGCATACTCAACATTAAATCTGATGCAACACAAGTAACTCAGACTTGTGTTATTTTCAAAACTTGAGTGAGATTATCAAGCCATAATAACCATTCCATGTATTTTTACATAGCTTAATATCTAGGTTATCCACAGCTAATGCTGTTTTAGAATGGTGGACTATTATTCCTTGTTCTTATTGCTGATCAGTAGCAGCATGCAATTTTTTATGCACTTTGCTGGGTTTCTTGA